TGGCTTTGGGGGCCAGGGAGGGAACTCTAGTCACATGGGACCCAACCCGGGCAGGAAGTTGGGCCGATTCATGGCTGGGATGCCACAGAAGCAACGGGAACTATTCCAGCGTATTCAGCAACAGCACTCTGTCCATGATGACCAAGAGGAAGGGACAGGAGAGATGGGGGGGGTGGATGATTCTGCACCAGGCACTAGTAATGTCAATTGGTACTCCAGCGATGAAGAGGGGGATGGCTCTTCGCCCACTAAGTCGCATGCACAAGTAAGGAAAAGAAATTATATGCTTGCATTTAATAATGAACATACAGTGATTGTGAGGTGTTAAGACTGGTATTATCTAGCTCAAAGACTTTCTAATGGAGTACTTTCATGTTTCCCTTTCAGAGTGCTATGCAGTCGTCCAGCAACTTGTCCCCAAGTCGGACTCCCCCGCTGCCCCATCACACCTCAGCTACGTCACCGTCTCACGGGGGCATGACACCCCCAGGCAGACCAGGCAGTAGTCCTGGCAGCTCTGCATCCTCCACCACTCCGAAGACTCCGTTCTCCAACATCAACTTGGCCAACATCAACATCTCCTCGGACCTGGCAAGTGTTTTGTCAGCTCTAAAGAGTCAGAATGCAGCTAGTACCAATAGGTAAGCTTTTTCCTTGGTTTGGCCATTCTGTGTGGTCTTGGGAGAGGAGTATCCTCCTTACACTGTTACTTTAAGTTGAAAGATCCTATGTTATTTATTTTATTTTTTCTTGGTATTCCAGGTGCATTGCTTTAAAGAATTGAGAATTAGGACAAGATATTTAAAATTTATTCAGATATTTATTAATGTTTGTGATGTGTAATGTAACTGGAACTATTCACAGTTCTGTGACCAAGATCTTTGGTTTAGGAACAGATAGCTGCCTTTTTCTGGATGTCTAATTATTATTATTATTTTGTTTCCTAATTATTATTTTTTTTCCTTTTTTTTTAGAATGCACTCAGGCCTGTTGTTTTCTTTCATTATTATTTTTTCATTTAGATAGTTTTTCCCAGTTGCTTTTTCATGATTTTGTGGCTAGATAGAAAAATGAAATCTTTCATTACTCTTTATCTTTCAGAAGCAGTGATGAATCGGGAAGAGGGCAAGTGCCGCAGTCCCCTCGAAGAAGAGACCCCAGAGAGATGCCAAGAGAACTGTCTCAAGACATGTCCCGAGATCCCAGGGAAGTTTCACGTGACTTCAGGGACATGCCTGAGCAGCGTGACATGCCCAGAAGTCAATCCCATGGGTCTCGTGACCCTCGGGCTGACTCGCAGAGACTCGACTCGGATTACTCCCAGAGTCCGTGGATGAGAGACCAACAGTCCATGGGAGGTCGCTGGGATTCCCAGAGGGATTTGGATTCCCAGAAAGAAGGCAGAGGTCTGCGAGGATCATTCTCTGAGTCGAGAGATTCGAGCGACCTTGACCAGAGACCGAGGACAGGAGATGTTGACCTCCGAGTACTGCCAGGGATTGAGGAAAGCAGACCCCAAAGTCAGGAGGTGAAAGGGTTGACGCAGGACACAGACATGAGAATCTCTAGTGAGCCATCGATATACGATGTGGATTTAAGGCAGCTCAATCTGCCTGGCACTTTCAAAGACACTGATGAGGACCCTAACTCGCTTCCCTTTAAGGTTCCTGTTCACACGCCAGCCAAAGAAATTGTTGCTTCCATATCTTCCCACTCACCCATGTATTATCAGTTGGTGAAGGTGTGCATTCCAAAACCAAACTTTTCACACCTCAAGATAAACAAAGATGACCCAAAGATACTTGAGGACCCAAGGCTAAGGAAGATGCTGCGGCGCAATTCAACAGAGGATTCCTCTAAAGGAAGTCCAAGGACGCCCTCCAGATATGAGTTTGATGGTCCGATGAGTCCTCCACCTTACGTCGCACCCAGCAAGAGTGAGCCCAAACCCACTGAAACTGAGTCCAGAGATCCAAGGATGTCTGGCTCTAGGGACCCAAGAGCAGAGCCACGTGGGGATCCTCGCTCTGAGCCACGTGCAGAACCCAGAGGAGATCCTAGAGTGGGCAGTCGGAGTGACCCACGGATGGGGAGTAGGGGAGACCCTAGGACAGAGTCTCGGGATCCCAGAAGTGAGCCAATGGGCGACATGCGCAACCAGGACCCAAGAATGTTTGGTGGTGGCAATGGGGGTAGTATGATGGACGGAGGAGGAATGCCTTTCAACAACATGGGTCCAGGGCCCATGGGAGGAATGATACCACCACGAAATGTGGATCCCAGGGGTCGGCCAGGCCTGCTGGGTCCTGCACCCATGGCTTTCCCAAGCAATGTTCCTCCTGGCATGGGGCCCAGGATGCCACCATACATGATGGGGCAGATGGGACCAGGACCCAATGGTGGCTTTTATCCAGATGAAGGCAATGACATGATGGGGGGAGGGGGGTATCCCCAGGGAGGGCCAGGATGGGGTGGTCGAATGATGTCAAATGACCCCAGGTTGAAGAGAGACATGAGTGATGGAGGCAGGTCCTACACACCACCTCCTGTGTCCTAGTTATGAGCCCAGCAAGGATACTCGTTAAGCTGTGATGTTTGCCATGTTGGCATTTTAGAATGTAGCTGTTAAGTTATTTCATCTGCTATAGTTAGCAGGCCAGTGATTAAGTGGGTATTACTTAAAAAGTTGGCCTAATAATTAGGCTTCAAACTTGTAGAATCAATATTTGATCCCATGTCTGTGTGTTCAAGTAGTGTGTTATCTGTGCTGTTAAGCACATCAATGGTGATTATGAATGTGTGTGTTTGTTGAGTCATTTGTGTAAATTTTCCTGTGTTGTATGTGAAATAATTCAAGATCAAAACTCAAATGGACAAAAACCTTTCTTGCTCATCATAACTTTTATGGATTGTAAGTTGTGTGTAATTTTGTTTTCAAATGGATGATATGTTTGCCTTTTCTGTGTTTTCTGTTCCTTAGTCTTCCTCCATGTGCAGCTCTGTGGTGTGCGAGGGTCATGCTGATGTGGAATTTTAAGGTAGACTGGTGTAAAAAAAAATGTGATCAAGAGGTTAATCTAGTTTGTAAATATCTTTTCTCTTTTGTCACACCAGGCTTGAAATTGCTCATCGTGATGTACCAAACTGTATATCTGTATCTGTTT